GAGCGCACGTTAGTTACAAAGAACCAGATTTTTCTGGAGGGAGAGGCCCAGAAATCTGGGATCTAAACATGTTTTCCCAGGTGATTTTAAATCTGCAGCCAAGGTTGGAGAACCCACTGGCTTAAGGGCATGGTTAAGGTGGAGAATGGGACCATCTGAGAGTAATGATGGGTTCATTGAATTTGAGGCCTCTGCCTCAAATTAATTATACTGAATTTAAATTATGAAAATTAATGATGGATCAAAATGTAACTTGTCAATAATTTGTTCTCTCTGATACTAGTGCAGTTATTACCAGTTTGCTTTTTCTTAGCTCAAATTACCTCAGTGTGCTTTTTATTTTCTTAATTGTGGGTTTTAAAGAATACCTAGGTGTGTGTGTATTGATTTCTGCGGAGAGAGAAACATCAGTGGTGAGAGGGATTCATTGATTGGCTGCCTGCCTCCACTGGAGAAAGATCCTGCGGCGGCGGAGGAGGAGTTGGGGGGACGGCGGGGAAGAGGGGCCCCACCGCGGGGGTGAGGGTGGCGGGTGGGGGTCGCCCGCTCGCGCGGCTCACCACGACTGGCCTGGGTCCGAGTCCGGAAGGCCGGCGCGCGGCTGCGTCCCGGAGGCAGAGGCCGCGTGACTGGGAGGGCGGCGAGCGGACGCGGGTCACGGGGTGTGAAGGAGGAAGTGCCGGGCCGGCCCGCCAAGATATCACCAATGGAAACGCGTCCTGCAGGTGCGGCCCGGCCCGCGCGGTCGGCCCGGCAGGAAGTGGGAGGGGGCAGAGCGACGAGGAAGCGCGTCCGAGTCTCCGGAGGCGCCGGGGAGGAAAGTCCAGAGACCGGGGAGGGGGGGCGGCAGCAAGGTTACGCGGAAGGAGACACCGTAAAGTTTAAAGGAAACCGTCTCTGAAGCAGGAAGAACTTAGCATGGGAACTAGTGGGTATACCTTCCGCACCTTGTTTTGTAGACTTGACCAGACTCAAGTCAATAGTTTGCAGTTTTTAGAAGATTAATTTTAAAACACCCAATTCTCAAAACTATATATCCAACGAGCAGCCACATTTTAGAAACATTTAAATCCTAATTCAAGTGAACACACTGGAAAACAAGGCAATTGCAGTAATGTGAATAGCGACTCATATCAGGAATCAAACTATAACTGAAAAGTAGAGACAAATGAGCCAGCCCTTAAGCAAATTAGCTCTAAAGAAAAAAAATAAAGGGGACACTTATTGAATAAAAGGAATGCTAAGAGATTTATCAAGGATTTACAATGCATGGGACATTTTTGGATCTTGATTCAAACTGGTAAACATTTATGGGACTGGGGCAATTTAAGAGATATTTGAACATTGACTAGAAATTTGCTTTTAACTATATTTTAGATTTTATAGAATTGTTACGTTTAAAAACAAAGGAATTAAAATTTAGAAAGGTATTCTGAAGTTTCTGTGGATGAAATGGTATGATGGGAGGGATGTGGTTCAAAAGTAAGTAGATGGGGGATGTAGAGAAAAACTGTACATAATTGGTAATTGTTGAAGCTGGGGGATAGGATTCAAAATCTAGCCATCCCATCAAAAGTGGGAAACAGACACTAAAAACTCACACATTCAAGATAAGTAAAACAATATTCTGAAGAAATTTGTGGAAAGATTATCTACAGAAATGGGTACCTTGACTGTTTCATAAGCATTTATTTCCCTGTAAGTCCTCTTCAAAGTATATCCTCTTGGTAATTTAGTGTGTCGGGCATGCATTTTCTCACTTATTGTATTAGAATGTATTTGCTGCAGTTTAGTTTTACATGAGTCTTCTTAGCTTAACTGGTTGGTGACACCGGCAAGGAGGGCGTTAATAATTGATTAATCATGATAATGGTTTCTGCCAGGGAAGGAACAAAAAGTACAGAATACACCAGGGAGCCTGTTGTGCTAAGACAGAAGGCACCTGAAAGTACCTGCCACAGCTCAACAGAGGAGGAAAGCAGAGTGAGATCCTCACACCCAGAAGGTCTGGAGTCTGGTTCGGTATTTTGGACTTTGGATAGAGTGTTGGCCTGCAGACCAAAGGGTCCCGGGTCCGATTCTCTCACATCGATGTGTTTTTCTCACATTGATGTTTCTCTGTCTTTCCCTCTCTTCCACTCTCCCTCAAAATCAATGGAAAAATATACTCAGGATGAGGATTAACAACAAAAAAGTGAAAGGATTTGAGTAATGTGCAGTAGATAAAATTAACCGAACTAGAGTCATTCATTAACCCAGAAATATTGTGCACTTACAACAGGGGTGGGGAACTTTTTTCTGCTAATGGCCATAACAGTCAAAATAAAAGAATTAATTTTTAGAAATTCACAAGTGTTTGTGAATGAAATAGTGTGATGGCTGGGATTTGCTTCAAAATTATCTGAGTGAAATAAATGGGGATGTAGAGAAAACTGTCCATAACTGGAAATTATCGGAGCTGGGTGATAGGATTCAAAACTAGACGTTTTATGGAAAGTGAGAAATAGACAATAAATATATGTCTGATCACAAATTCTGAAATGACCAAATACAAGAAAATGAGGATTAACTTACATTGGGGTTCTGAAGAAGTGACATTTAAACAGACCAGAAGCAGAGGTACAAACGTAAAACTCCATTCCACCCCACCCCCACAACCTCCAGCCCCAATAGCTAAGGCAGGGGTCCTCGAACTTTTTAAACAGGGGGCCAGTTCACTGTCCCTCAGACCGTTGGAGGGCCGGACTAGTTTTAAAAAAAAATATGAACAAATTCCTATGCACACTGCACATATCTTATTTTGAAGTAAAAAAACAAAACGGGAACAAATACAATATTTGTATTTGCATGTGGCCCGCGGGCCGTAGTTTGAGGACCCCTGAGCTAAGGTTTCAAAGTAGAAGTTAGAAGACCATATTAGCCTTTTATTCCTTTGTATATTACTCTACTTATTCCCCCTGATGTTTGTTCTAATTCTTTATAATTTAAAAATGCAACCCTTTGCTAAGATGTTTTGGTTGTTTTGTATAAACATTTTTATTTTGTGGTAAATCCTTTTAATCTTTGTATTCAGTTATTATATGCCTAAATTTCCCAGGGGCTCATGCACCCGAAGTGTGAGAACTCTTATCTAATTTGCACAACATGCAAGTTCCAGATACAAAGCTACCTGAGAGAAGGTGTAGATGGATCATGAAATACACTAACTTATTTTAAGTGTTTATTGCTATTACTACATTTTTATCCATCAAAGGTCATGATCTGTAAGCAACAGGAAAGCTGTTTTCTATTATCTTTAATTATTGGGCCCTTTAGTTTATTTAGAATAACAATCTGGAATTAGAATACACTAGTTTTCCTAAATATTTAGTTATCTAAAGCTGTGTTAACTAAAAAGCAAAAATAGTATAATGTGATGCCAGGTAAATTACATCTATAATGCTTGCATTGAAATTAACTTAAGGGATGAATTTTTATCCAACAGAACAAGCAACCATTGCTCTCTATGTTTAAATTTCAATGATTTAACTTTATATAACCAAAACGTATTATATAAACAATCAATATAAAAAATGAGATAGTTTACATTTTTTCATACTAAGTCTCAAAATCCTGTGTGTATATACACTTACAGCCCTAATCTATTTGGACTAGTACATTTCAAGTGCTTCCTAGCCACACATAGCTAGTACCTACCATAGTGGACATTGATCTATATCGTGATTTTCAACCTTTTTCATCTCATGGCTCACAAACTGATTTTAAAAGATAGGTATAATTTTGACTCATCCACACAGGACAGCTACTGTTGTGTTGGCTGATGTCATTTTTTTATTTGACACTATAAGGGAAAAATGGTCAGTGCCCCGGACTCCTCTCTCTCTCTGAAATCAATAAAAATAAAAACTGCTATTAAGACATCCCTTGCTAAAGATAAAATCTGTTCTCAATTGAGGGGAAAAATTCATCACTTGTATTAATTGGTAGTACTCTCCCCTATAGTAAGAAATATGATCTAGCCTAAGAAATGGAAGTGAGGAGGGGAGACCTTTGCTAAAGAAAATACAACTGCTAAGAAGATAATCTCCCAGTTACCCCACCCCCTAACCTTCCTGTAGTTCTCTCTCCTGAAGCGAGCATCTCTGGGGTGGGTTAAAGGCCTCAGGAGGGCTATGGGTGACACTTATGATCTCCAGGGAGAACTTTGCAGTACATGTCCACAGCCTCCTCAGGAAGGTGTTCCTTCAGGGAGCCTAGAGCTTCCTCCTGGGGCTCCGTGGAGAGTTATTATCTTGTCAGGTCCCATGCAGCTGCCACAGGAGTGGAGATCGCTGTAGCACCTTGTGCTCAATGTTCACTGTTCAGGGACCACACAGCACACTATCCATGGGAGTGAACAGAGCCAAGAGGAGGGAAGGAATGTGACAATGTACTTGAGGGGCTTCCAGCACCGGGAGAGAATACCACACACAGGAAAACAGCTTACAGCAGCAGTTTTCAGAGCACAAGAAGTGCTGGGCAAAACCATAATATTTTAACAGAAAAAATGAGCACTTTCAGACAATCAAATGCAGAATTAACTTTCCAGTACTAAAAATTGAGTTGAAATATTTTGGGTGTATTGAGTTAATAAAAATACATTAAAACATACTAAATTAAAATAAGAGTGTGATAGGAATTTGTAATACTCATACTAGGTGAGAATTTTTGAAGAGGTATACTGTCAGGGAAAACTAAAAGGAGTTCAGAATTTTTCATTTCAGTTTTGCATTACCAGCCCGTCATTAAAAAAGTATTTTTTTTAATCTATTCATTTTAGAGAGGGGGAGGGGAGAGAAACATCGATTTGTTGTTCCCTTTATTTACGCATTCATTGGTTGATTCAGGTATGTGCCCTGACCGGGGACTGAACCCACAACCTATTAGGACTATGCTCTAACCAACTGAGCTACGTGGCCAGGATCCCCTCACCCCCACCTAATCATCACAATTTCTCTATAAATTGAGAACAGGGAAAACTTTCCTGACCATGTCTCAAAAAACAGAATATGGGGGAAATAACATCAAATCTGATTACATTAAAAACCAAGCCACCTCTGCATGGCTAAAACCACTATAAGCTAAGCAAAAATACCAATGATAAAATGGGAAAGATATTTGCAATTTATTTCCCAAGTGTTAGTAATAAAGAGCTTCTAAAAAGACACAAAATGTCCAACAATCCAGACAAAAAGGCTTAAACATGAAATGATGCTCAACTTCATCCATATAAGACAAACTCAAATTTTAAATGAAATAACACTTAAAATACCTATCATATTGATAATAACAGAATTTTGCTAATACATATCCTTGGCAAGGTTGTAGATAATAAGCAGGAACTCTCCAATATTGTTTGTGGAAATATTAAATGGTTCAACCCTTATGGTCAAAGAGGGAAAAGATACCCACAGAGGCTATTCACTGCAGCACCACTTCTAACAGAAAAAGACTAGAAACAATCCAGTTACCCATCACTAAGGATCCAGTTGATAAACTTTGGTGGATCCACTTAATGAAGTATTTATTGTACTTTAAACCAAGGAAGCCAAGAACCAATGTGAAGAGCTCCCACTGGCCAAAAAATAGATTAATTTGAGCCAAAAGAATAAAACCTATCATGGGTAAAAATACAGACTGTTAAAATTCATGAATTCATAATGGTACCAGAAAAACTGTCTTTGGCACATGCTAGGGATTGAGTTCATTATGCGGGATATTGATAAACATAGGAATAAAAAATGTAACCGCCAGCTAGCCCAGTTGGTTAAAGCATCATCCCAATACTCCAAGGTTGTGGTTTGAAACCTGGTCAGGGCATATACAAGAATCAACTGCCCTAGCTGGTTTGGTTCAGTGGATAGAGGGTCAGCCTGCGGACTGAAGGGTCCCAGGCTCAAGGGCACATGCCTGGATTACAGGCTTCATCCCCAGTGGGGGGTGTGCAGGAGGCAGCCAATCAATGATTCTCATCATTGATGTTTCTACCTCTCTCTCCCTTTCCCTTCTCTGAAATCAACAAGAGATATATTTTTTTAAAAATCAACCAATGGCCGGGCTGTTGTTGCTCAGTGGTTGAGCATCAACCCAAGAACCAGGAGGTCATAGTTCAAGTCCTGTCAGGGCATATGCCCAGGTTGTGGGCTTAGCTCGATCCCTGGTAGAGGGCATGAAGGAGGCAGCCAATTGACGTTTCCCTCTCACACTGATGTTTCTCTCTCTCAAATCAATAAAAACATATCCTCAGGTGAGGATTAAAGTAAATATTTTTTCAAAAAGATATAATCTACTAAATATAAGGTGTGCTCTTATTTGACTACCAATTCAAACCTACCAGCTGTATAAAAATATTTATTAATCCTGGCTGGTGTGGCTCAGTGGTTGAGTACTGACCCATGAACCAAGTTTCAGGCTCAATACCCAGTATTTAAAAATGTATTATACAAAAGAAAAATCCGAGTCCCAGTCCCAGCTGTGTCACTGAAGAAGTGACTTGTCTCCTGGTCTCCATTTTCTCATCTGTAAAATGGGGCTAATGGAATATCATCCCCTTACAGCCTGGTCATGAATGTGTGATTACAAAGAGTGAGTGCCAAGGCTCAGACCCAGGGGAGGTTGGCAGGAAGCTACCTTTGTGGAAGGGGGTCCTCCTCCCATTTCTGTAGCCCCTCCAGGCACCTACCCTGTCTCCACATTCTCCTTCACAGTTTTGGCCATAAATAAGGACTAACTCTTCTACTTAATCTTTTTCCTTAAGTTAATCAGCATTTTCACTTGAATATTTTGTTTAATGGGAGCTTTGCAGCAAGACTCAAGTGAAAACCAATCACTTGTCAAAGTGACTAAAACAACTTGGAAATAACAAATCTAATCAATTTACAGCAATGCATACAGGTACATGAGTTCCCCAAAGCAAGGACGGACTCACCCAACACTAGTGATAGAGCAATCAATCTCTCCCAATATTAACTCACTTTATTACTTTTGGGGGAGGGGGAAAGGGAGTAGGCACATAATGAGGTCACATTTTTTGTTGTTAATCCTAACCAGAGGATATTTTTTTTCCATTGATATTTAGAGAGTGGAAGGGAGAGGGAGGCACAGAGAAACATGGATGTACCTTCTCCCACATAACCGACCGCCTGGGATTGAACATGCAACTGAAGTAGGTGCCCTTGATGGGAATCGAACCCGTGACCCTTCAGTCCGCGAGCCGGGCTCTAACCACTTAGCGTCGGCTAGACCATATTCACTTATTTTAAAATGAAAAATCTTGTCTAAAAATTAGCACTGAAAACACCAATTTTCACTGACATCCTAATGTATTGTCTAACCGGAGAACCCAAAGTATTCTCATTACTGGAAATTCAGAAACAAGTTAACTTTTAAAAAACGTGGCTAAAATAGTGAGAATTACATTAAGATCGGTAGTTTCAATGACATTTTGAATGAAAATATTATTTGCAGTTTTCAAAATTCTCCCTGCTCCACCAGGTTCAGGGCGCGCAAAGGCCTCCCCTAACCTCCGCGTTTCCGCTTCCCACCCTCCCACCGCGCGGGGCCAGGAGGCCGCGGACCGCCTTCCTCCGCGCGCTCGCGGGCTGCTCTCCCGCCGCACACGGGCCGCCGCGAGCAGTTGTGAAACACGGAAAGGGAAGCACGTTCGCTCGTCCCGGGCTTCCAGGCGAGGAAACTGCTGGGAGGCCGTCCAGCGTGAGGCAGACGGGGCCCGACCAGACGCCCGGGGGGCGCTCTCGCAGGCGCCCGAGAAGGGGGGGGGGGGCTCTCCGGGGCCTGTGACCGCCCAACCGCTTCCATAAAGAATAGAGAGACCAGGGGAGTCGGACCCCACGACTTGTCCGGCGTCGCCCAGGCCACCGGCGCCCCCTTCAGTGAACCACGCCGAGCACGGGAGGCAGAGGGCGCCGTGAGAGCGCCGAGAGCGTCCAGAAGTTTCTTAGGCGCAGTCAAGAATCAGCAAATATATTCAAAGACACAAAGAAGTCAAAGACGAGAAAAAAGAAACGGCCGATGACACAAGCTTGCTCAGAAAAAGTGTGGCAACCAGGCAAAGACAACGAGACCAAAAAGTCAGCCGAAACGCAGACACAATACCTCTCGGGCAGGAGACCAACGCAGGCAGGCGCTCAGGGCACGCACGCCGCACAAAGAGGAAGAAGGCCGGCCGCCGACACCGAAAGCGGAGGCCTGACGAGCGGGAACGTGGGAGGGGGAGGAGTCAGGCCCAGCCCTTCGCGGGCACCTCCCCAGCGCTCCCAGCCACGTGAAGGCACGGCTTCCACTTTAAACCTCCCTCTCCTTGCCTGGCCGGGGCGCTCGGGCGCTGCTCTCCCGGGAGTCCGCACGAGGCCCTCCTTTCCTCCATTGCTGCAGGCCCTGCTTCTCCGGACCCCACACCTCAACCCCGAGGTCTGGTCCCAGAGTATAAGACCCTTGACCTCAGGCCCACCTCTCCCAAAGCCAAATCTCTGCTCACCCCGTAGGCTCGGCCCTTGACACTCGGCCCCAGATGGATATCTCCGGGTGGGGCCCCTGACCTCCGCCCCTCGATCCCCACCAGCGGAAGACCCAGACTCTGGTTGGTCCCGAGTTTGCGGCCCTTGACCTCAGATCCTGCCTCCCCGGACCCCAGATCTCAGCCCTGCCACCCCACCCCCAGGGGGCGCTATCCCCAGCCGGTCCTCAGACCTTCCGCCCGTCCCGGTCCTCACCTCGGGCTCCGAGTCGTCCACGCTCCCTCTCTACTTCACATACGGCACCTCGGTCGTCCCCCTGAGCACCTAGAGGAGGGTGGAACGCAGGACACTTGGCAGTTGTAGGGGAGGCAGTTGAGGCTTGTTTACCATCACCATGGAAACCCCTGGCTGCGCGCCCTGGGCGGGGCTTCCCGGAGCGCGACAGGCCCAAGTCCACAACTAGCGCCCCTTGTGCGCACGCAGCGCTTCAGGAGCCGCTGCTCTCGGCCCCGCGCCCCACACCGGGAGCTGCAGCCCCGGAACCCGCGCCCCCACCCTGCTTCTACCTGCCGGCGCGACCCCTGCTCGGTTGCCCCACGGAATCCCACCTTTTCCAGGAGGACGCGACGCAGTCCTACTTCCACGACGGAACCGGAAGGACGCAGAGAGCAGCGGGGCGGGGCCTCCACGGCGGGCATCCGGGAACCCGGACCACCAAGTCGCCATTGTGTCGCGCCCGAAGCGGAGCCGGGGATTGGTCAGCCGGACGGGGGCGGGGCCCGCGGCGGGGGCGAGGCGAGGAGGGGGGCAGTGGGCCGCAGGACCACGGGAGTTGGGCGCGGCGGGCGAACCCGAGAGCTGAGTCCCTGAAATACTGACAGGAGACCCCCCCCCCAGGCGAGCCCGAAGGACGCCGGGTTGAAGACCCGCGCGAGAGGAGAGAGAGCCGTTTCCTGTCGAGGAGGAAAGAGGAAACTGAAAACACCGGATAAAGGCTGCTCTGGTGGCAGGATTTAGAGGGGAATTAATTGCTTAGAGATTAGCTCTTGGGCTGAAGCCCCCCAAAGCCTCGGAAGGTGACTCGGAAGCCACAGGGGGAACGCGGGCTTCTCGGTTACCGAGCACCGAGCCCACAGGCTGGCTGGCAGGACTGCCCGCCCTAGGCAGCGCAGCAGATTGTTCGCCATATGTTCTAGAATGAGTGATTATTACCACTTCTGGGACACTTCATAAAGAGGATAAAATCAAGGCACTCGTCACAGGTTCAGCAGGTTATTTTAAAGTCACCAGTTAAGTTAAGCAGTGCTTGGAATAGTGTCAGATTATGACTGGCCAAGGAGGATAGAGGATAGAGGAGCACAGATTGTCAAGAGAACTTTCCGAGAAAAAGAACATTGGAAGAATAAGGGCAGGAGTAGTCAGAGGAAGGTGACAACGAGGCAAAATTATAGAAAACAGGTCCTACAAAACCCGGGTTTTTGTTTTGTTTTTTGGTTAATCCTCACCCGAGGATATTTTTTCATTGATTTTTAGGGAGAGTGGGAAAGACAGAAACATGGATGTGAGAGAAATACATGAATGGGTTGCCTCCTGCATGAGCCATGACCGTGGCCCCGGGCCAGGGAGGAGCCTGCAACCAAGGTATGTGCCCTTGACCAGAATGGAGCCTGGGACCCTTTGGTCCTCAGGCTGATGCTGTATCCACTGAGCCAAACCAAGTAGGGCCAAAACTCAGGCATTTTTAAGAAATTGCACAATGATTCCATCACAGCTATAGAAAAATATGTGTCTGGAGAGAAAATGCAAGAAGCTAATCTGAAGCAAATATTACAATTATACCAAAAATAGTAATGCTGCCAAATTTGGACTGTGAAACCAGGTCCAAGAAGATATATTTATGCAGTTCATTAGGAGGGACTCTGAGCCAAATGGGTTATTTGATCCCATAAAGTTGGACAGTTCTCTATTTTTCATCAATGATGCAGTAATCCCCTTTTTTTAAGTATTTTTTCCCCTTTATTTTATTTTCCATCACCGTTTATCCCCCATATCCTCATCAGAGCTGTCTCCCTGTTCTCTATGAGTCTGTTTCTATAATTTGTTCTTTGGTGTATATCACTTAGCATGATGTTCAAATAAAGTTATTTGTGACAGTACCTTAAGGAGACCCAAGCGAGACTCCACTTAAAATTTGTAAGCATGAGCTTGAGTGCCCTTGTCCACCACTCCTTTGTGTTCAGGTGGGTTCTGATGGAGTAGAATTCGTCACTGGCTCCCGGGTCTTCTATCAGGCCCTTCTCCTCATGGATCCTGTGCAGAGAGCCGGCTTGCCTCTCTCTGCCTCCTCCTTGAACTGCTGCATGTAGTCCAGGAAGGCCACCATCGCCTGGTCAAACGTTATCCAAGAGAGCACTTCCCTGCTCGGTGCAGAACAAGGGCAGCTCAGTGGGGTCCTCTGTTAATGACCTCAGATAGGAGTGGTTTCTGCAGAGGATGAGTTGCTCTGAAACTGCAGACCAATTGTGTTAGACCGGCCACGAGCAGCAAGGCTGTCAACCCCCAGCCTTCATTGATCTCACTCCAGCAAACAGGACAGTGGGGATGCAGCCCAATCTGAAGTTACTGATGATGGCCAAGGGGCCATCATCGCAGATCTTAGCCAAGCTATCTGGGTCTGAGAGTACGTACTCCACGATCCACAGTTCATCCTGTAGTTCTAATTGCAATCTACTATAGTCCCTATGGCACTGCCTTTCCTGTTCCAGTGTCTCAGTCTCAGCCTGGGCTGCCTCCAGAGCCACAGCTGCCCTTTCTCGGTTCTTCTCCACCTCCTCCAACTCCTGGACCAGCCTCGCTTCCTCCAGCTCCACAACCTTCAATGCCTCCTGCAGTGCCTCCCTCGTCCTCAATCCATCCCTGGTCCCCAAACAGCATTTATAGTTCTGACTGTCAGATTCTGAGATCCTGAGCTGGGCGTCCAGCTGCTCCAAAAGACTCAGTATAGTCCTCGCACAGGGTTGGTCCAGATCTTCACCAGAAAGGATGTAAAAAATGCCCCTCATGGCTTTTTGGATGCTATTGAGAGTCCCCCAGCAGGGTGAAGTTGTTGGGACCGTACCTGGACATCTCGCCATCAACAGGGAGGGTCCAGCCATAGGCACTATCCTGTAGCTTTGCAACATCTGTCTCCACCCTGGAGGTAGAGCCTTCCTCCAGAGTTTCTCCTGGGTGCCCCTGAGCTGAGGGGAACTTCGAAGCTGCAGGTTCTTGGCTGAGGTCTCCCTGGACCGAATCAGCTTCAGGGGCTGGTGGTAGCACTGGCAAATGAAGCAGACGAAGGACATGGTGGAGGTCTTGACTTTCACCGTTGATCCTAAGTTTCCTCTAGTAATCCTTGTAGTCTTCGAGTGAGACTAGAGCCTTGGCCTGGTTATGAACATGCTCCTAGTTCAAGGGAGCTATCCCAGGTGGTCACTATGATGTTTTTTCTTCTTTTTCTGCCTTTTATTTCTGGAATTTATTGGAATGACATCTAATCTAATAAAAGAGAAACATGCAAATTGACCATACCTCCCCTATACCCACAAGCCAATCAGGAGTGAGTATGCAAATTAACCCAACTAAGATGGCGGCAGCCATGAAGCTGGAGTGAACAGGAAGGAGGCTTGGGTTGCCCCCAGCAATGAAGGAAGCAATGAAGGAAGCCAAGCTTCCGCCTGCCTGCCGGCCCTGAGCTCCGCTCAAGGCTACAAAGTTTCATTATAGAAGATAAATAAATTCCCAGCTTCCAGCCTGCCTGCGGGCATGGCCAGCCTGAAAATGGCCATCAGCCCCTCACCCAGGCTGGCCAGGCACCCCAGTAGGGACCCCCCCCCCAAAGGGGCTGTGGCCAGTCTAAAAACAGCCATCAGCCCCTCACCCAGGCTGGCCAGGCACCCCAGTGGGACCCCCACCCTGATCCAGGACACCCTTCAGGGCAAACCAGCCGGCCCCCACCCGTGCACCAGGCCTCTATCCTATATAATAAAAGGGTAATATGAAAATTGACCCTAACAGCAGAACGACTGGGAATGACTGGTCACTATGACACACACTGACCACCAGGGGGCAGATGCTCAATGCAGGAGCTGCCCCCTGGTGGTCAGTGTGCTCCCACAGGGGGAGCTCTGCTCAACCACAAGCCAAGCTGACGCTGCCAGCACAGCGGTAATGGCAGGAGCCTCTCCCGCCTCCTCAGCAGCACTAAGGATGTCTGACTGCAGCTTTTGCCTGCTCCCCACTGGCAAGTGGACATCCCCCGAGGACTCCCGGGCTGCCAGAGGGATGTCTGACTGCCAGCTTAGGCCTGTTCCCCCGGGGAGCGGGCCTAAACCAGCAGGTGGACATCCCCCAAGGGGTCCCAGACTGCGAGAGGGCACAGGCCGGGCTAAGGGAACCCTCCCCCCCCCGGAGTGCACAAGTTTTTGTGCACCGGGCCTCTAGTTGGTTAATAAAATTATATAGGTTCCAGGTGTACAATTCTATAATACATCATCTGTATATAGTGTGTTCACCAAGTCAAGTCTCCTTCCATCTTAATTTATTCCCCCTACACCCTCCATGCCCCTTTGCCTCTGGCAATTACTGTACTGTTGCCTGTGTTGGTGAGCTTTTTTCCCTCTTAATCCCTTCACCTTTTTCACCGGTCCTGCAACCCCCTCCCCTCTAACAGCTGTTAGCCTGTTCTCTATATCTATGAATCTGTTTCTATTTTGTTTGCTAGTTTATTTTGTTCACTGGATTGCATATATGAGTGAGATCAAATGGTACTTGTCTTTCTCTGACTGGCTTATTTCACTTAGCATAATGCTGTCCAGGTTTATCTATGCTGTCACAAAAGGTAATATTTCCTTTTTTACAACTGAGTAGTACTCCATTATGTAACCATACCACAGCTTTTTTATCCACTCATCTATTGATGAGCACTTGGGCTGCACTGTGGGGTTTTTTAGAGGCGAGTGCCAGCACAGTCACTAGTGCCACAGATCTCTGTCCTTTTCCACAAATGTCTGGGCCCATCTCACCAACTAGAGAATGCTTGCCCACACTTGGTCTACGTGGACCACTTCAGCCACCCTTTTTTTAAACCTTTGTTCACCAAAATATTATCCCATTAACTCGGAAACTAAGAAATTTTATTATCATGAAATTTTATTCAGAAAATCCTTAAAGGCGAGCGTAAGAATCTATTTACCCCGACAAACAATGGGGACTCAAGATATATCTGGGAATAAAACATATGGGAAGTCACCTATTGTCTTCACTAGCAGAGAGGTGTGGACCCAGAAGGCTGGTGACCCTTGAAGCCCTGGCAAAGGTCAGAGCTATGCACCCACTGTTTAGTTGAGACAATGGTAGCTGAAGCAACTTCCCCACCAAAGAGTCATGTAAATCCTTACTGATAAGATAGTCTGCCTGTTACTGGAAGTTGCCTGCCTAAGGGCTATGGGTGGATCCCAAACTGAATAAAAAGATGGCAAGGGCCCTAACAGGTTTGGCTCAGTGGATAGAGCATCGGCCTGCGGACTGAAAGGTCCCAGGTTCGATTCTGGTCAAGGGCATGTACCTTGGTTGTGGGCACATCCCCAGTGGGGGGTGTGCAGGAGGCAGCTGATCGATGTTTGTTTCTCATCGATGTTTCTAACTCTCTATCCTTCTCTCTTCCTCTCTGTAAAAAATCAATAAAATATATATTTAAAAAAAAAAAGATGGCGAGGCACACACTTGGGATGGGCTCTTGCCTGGCCCCCCAATTTTCAAATTATTGTCTCTTGTCTCGTCTCTTTCATTTGTGTGTGGCCCCTCTTCCAGATCCTGAACCCTGAACCATGCGGGATGTGGGGGAGACTACACACATTTACACATAACTCTCTGACAGATTGACCTGCCTGTTTATTCCCTGTTGTTTATATCAGTAGATTAGCATAAATTTAATATCTTTCAATAAATGTTTTGTTTTAAAATAAGCTCCTCTCTGGAAACCACTAATCTATAACAAGTGATACAGAGGTATTGTCTAGGGCACGCGTGTCAGAGGTGACATTTTTTGGGTTGATTTTTCTTTGTTAAATGGCATTTAAATATATAAAAAAATATATCAAAAATATAAGTCTTTGTTTTACTATGGTTGCAAGTATCAAAAAAATTTCTATATGTGACACAGCACCAGAGTTAAGTTAGGGTTTTTCAAAATGCTGACACACCGAGCTCAAAAGGTTCGCCATCACTAGTCTAGGGTCTATTAAAATTTTCCAGTTCACCCCTAAAAGAACACTTTACACATTAAACTTTGACCAAGGAGAGTGTCAGTGGGTAGGCAGAATCACCATAGCTCAGTGAAGGCTCTTAATTAAAATCACAGTATCTGTCACACAGCAATAATAGCTAACATGTATTGCACCTTCGCTGTGCTTTGCACTATTGTGAATACTTAATCACATTTAAGCATAGGGACCCAACAGTAGATGGTATTACTATCATCACAGTTAGTGGAAGAAAACTGAGGTACAGAATCATTAAGGTAACTTTCCTAAGATCACTCAGCT